GACAGAAGTAGCGGTCAAAGGAAATTGAAAAACCGCGTAAAAACCGTATATCAGTCACAGATTTATCCTTACATTCATCCAAACCACGTCACCGTTATTCAGAGTCCCTCGTCACCCTCACTTCATCCCTCAAGATTTGTGATCCACCCATGGTCTGATTTTTGGTATTATTTTAAGCTTTACGACTCACTAAAAAAATATTCCAGTTTCCTCTAGACGAAATTAGAATTCCAATTTCGTCTGGACGAATTCCGAATCGGGCTGGATTCCAACTTCGGCCATAACATATATATATATATATGATCAGATAGAGAGTATGAGCTAATCAAGAGTATATGTGTTTTCAATTTTTTGGAATTACTTTTAGCCGGAAAACTACATTTTTTCCGACAACCTATTTTCTCTGAAAAAGAGATCAATTTTCAATAACCTACAACTTCACATTTTTTTTTGCTTTCTTCGAATTTCAAAACTATTTTTAGATTCAGCAAGAGAAAATTAAAGCTAGGGAAGCCATTTATAAATGACTTGTTTAGTTTCAATTTGTCACAATGAGTCTCAAACAAACAGTTTTTGAAATTTGAAGAGAGACAAAACATTTCACAAGTTGTCGGCTATTGAAAACTGATCTCTTTTTCAGAAAGAGTAGGTCATCGGGAAAAAATTAGGTTTTTCTCTTAATAATTAATTCAGAGAAATTGATGACACATATATTCTTGATTAACTCATCATGCTCAATCTAAACGTATATTAAAAAAAAACAAAAAAAAATCTTATTAAATTTTGTACTTTCGACACCTTATGTACAAAGTGTGTAAAGATGTTTTCTTTTTAGGGGGGTAGTACTGTGATGTCAAATATTATTAACAATAAACTTTATACTTAATAAAAGGGTGTCAAAAATACGGTTTATCAATACTAAACAATAAGAATTATGGCAACTTTTCAGTGTTGAAGTCTAAAAATTGCTAAAGCTTTAGACCTTGACAACAAAGAAAAATTCCTTGCATGAAGCAGTTGAAACTAGATCTCATTTAAAATGGTGAAGATCAAAAATTAATATTTATTATTTTTTTTAATTTGATCAATATAATCAATAATCAGTATGATGATCACTAGTGTTTCTACAGCAAGTAGATCTAACTAATATACACATAAAATCATTTCAAATGCATCAATGTTTGTTTCTATGTTTGTCAAAACAGATGAACTACGATGTTTTAGAATTTCTTTATCATAACTATTGTATTTCATGTTAGATAGCAATTTTCCTCAGTTTTATGTTTCATTATTGTTTCAATATTTTCAGATCAAATATCTAGTACATTTTTTACTCATAACATTAAATAAGTTCTAGTTTAAACTGCCTCATGAAAGAAACTTTTCTCTGCTAATATGACCTGAAATTTTAGGAATTTTCCGAATTCAACACTGAAAACTTGTGATAAACATTACTGTTTAGTATTGATAAATCTCATTTTCGAAATGCTTTTATTTGGTATAAAACTTGTTGTTGATGTTATTTGAAATCACAGCGTTACCCGCCTATAAAAAAAAACTTTTTTTTTTGGCACCTTATATACATTAAAAAACAAAACTTATAATCTTACATACCCACCATTAGCAAATACTTTTTCACCATATTCACTTTTTCGTTCTATATCTAATAAAAGTAAATAATCATGAAATTCTTTAAAATCAATTGCTTGAAATATTCCACGAATATAATTATATAATTGCTCTGTTTGTGTATATGTTTGATTATATTCATCATGAATTTCTTCTAATTCATTAATAAGACCACGATCAAACATAGATTTTATTTGATCATTTATAAATCTTTCTAATACTAAAAACAAGAAAAAATAATATTTGTTTTCATTTGTTTTGTTTATGTAAATATACCTTGTTTTTGACATGTTAGCCATAACAGACAACAACGATGAAAACGAAATAATCCTCGATAAGAAAAACCGCTTTCAGCATGTTGGTTTTTTAATGCTTCACTTCATGGAATATCACCAGGATCACCATAAAATTCAATAGCTTTAAATGTTATGCGAACGATACAGATAGAACTGACAAAAAGTTTTTGCTAACGACTATTTATTCAGATAAAATCTTCATATATTTTCGTCGCTGTCAATGTAATTACATGCACACCTTTGTATATCTCTTCATATTCTTCCCATCAAATAAACGTGCATTCGTCTTTTTTCTAGATAGATCATTACGATTAATTGACATTCATTTTCTTTTTGCGTGTTTTTGTTTTAGTCTTGCTACATGTGCTGTCTCCTACACCAGGGAGAATACCCAAATTTGTTTTTTTTTTTCATGAGGAAAAAAGCACAAATCACTAAAGGTAGAAACAAACCTTCGTGTTTTACGGTCTTCATTTGGATGTCTTCTGATACTTGTTGGTTTATCAGCTATCGATAGAAATTCATGTAATTGAACTGAGGTTAATTTTTCTAAATTTTCTTCCAATAAATCGTTTGATAATAATATAAATTGTTTGTCATGTGAATTGTCGAATGATGTTTCAGGTGGATTAAAATGAAAAAGTAAAGATTCAATATAATGATTCATACTACCGATAGTACATCAAAGATGAGATCGAGATATCATTGATTCAATCTGAGAAGCAAAAAGAAGTTCCTCTTTTTTAGTTTTAGGAAACGGATTGAAAAAAACAATTCAACGTTACAATGAAACGCATGACTGAATTTTCATTATTTAGTGTGTTTTTCTATTAACATTGTTCATATATAGCGCCAACACTTTTTGTTGTTTTTGCATTAACCTGTATAAGAAGTTTTGAGTATATGAAAGATGCACACTACGAACACTTGCGTAGGGAAATCTGCACAATGGTAGTTTGCGCATGAAATAACAATAATCTTGTTTAGCTAAACTAATGTCCGTTTCAAAATATAATGCGTCCCACTGCTTTTTAAATAACTCAAGAACGCAATCAGCTAGAGATCTGCGGTTTTCACCAATCGAAAGAAGAGACAGGGGGACGTCTTTTTCTGCAATATTGTATCAGACAAAATCATTTTAGAATCAGTCATTTCTGCAAAACATTGCAAAAAATGCATGAAAACGACCCGGCATTCTGAAGAAGTTTTCCTTTTGACATGTGATCTAGATAGAGGGACTTCGGATCTATACTTCAGGATATAATTCGAATGATTATCTTACCGCATCCTAATGTTTAGCAAATAAAATCGTCTATTTACTCGCAAGAAAACTATGAATTTCTTTTAATTTTGAAGCAATTTTTTTTACTTTTTGTCAAAATTTCATCTGAATGACAGACCATTTTTTCGATGTTATGCAGAAATGACTGGTTTCAAAATGATTCCGTCCGATAAGATATTGGAGAAAAAGACGTTCTCCTGTCTCTTCTTTCGATTGGTGAAAACCGCAGATGTCTAGGTGATTGCGTTCTTGAGTTATTCAAAAAACAGTGGGACGCATTATATTTTGAAACGGACATTAGTTGTGAGAATTATAATGTTTGAAACAAAAGAACAAAAGTATTTTATTTTCGAATAGTTTATTTTCAATAATACTGAAACATGAGTATTTCAATCGAGTTCACTTCTACTGCAACACCTAGACCTGTAATGATATTAAACGAGTATTCGTACATTCAGAGTCGTCAAATCAGCGAAAAACTTACTGATGTTGTGAAAATCAGAAAAAAAGATTAACTGTTATTATTGCATACATACATGTAATATTGGTAGTAACGCCATACATTTTGTCATTGTTGAACGTCAGGGTATTCATACAACAACTTGTAGTTGTGATCCAATCAAGATATCAATAAGAAAGTTTCATGAAGGTTCCGTGAATCTTACAAACAATACACAACAGTCAACTGGTACTATTTTATCATAATATATATCACAGTTACCTATTCGAGTACGTTTACGTTTCCTATCATTAGATTAGAATATCTTGATACAACATGAACACTTGCATCATTGTATGTATCAATACAATCATCAAAATGAGTTTTTGATCTCGTGCTTTATTTACATATTTTTATTCATGATTTTGAAACTAAAATAAAAATTGTTATTTCTTTGATCTCTGGCTTTTTAACACATTCGAGGCGATTCGCCTCTATATAGTGTGGGTAAAAGTATTATTCAAGGGAGTATCACTATCATTTCAAATAGCTATTGCAACTAATTTTATACCAGTTTAAAGCGCGCTAAATGGAGTTTCATTTGGTATAAAATTAGTTGTGTTAGCTATTTGAAATAATAGTGTTACTCCCTGGAATGATATTTTTACCAATTCTGTGTAGCGTGGCCCACCGGTGGGCCACATCGCCTCGAATGTGTTAAAAACTGTTTATCGAAGTGAAAATTAAATTTTATTGTGTCATGTGTAAATTACCAGTGTGCAAAACTGGCCGTGCGCATCTTTTGATATTCTGCTGGTTTAATGTGAATGTCATAGCGCTTTAATTATCATGAAACATCAACATGATTACAATATATTTATAGCTTTCACATTCTGAAAAAAAATAAAATTAATTAGCAAAGAAATGTTTGGAACAAGTGACAACAAGTTTTTTTATTATCAAGCGATCAGTAAATTAAGTTCAAATAAAATATTTACTGATATGTTGAGGGTCAGGATGTGCTGGGTCTCTAAATTGTCATTCTCATGCTGATAGATATTTCAATGTCTTCACAATTTATATTATGAAGTTTGAAAAAATCACTTTCAAAATAGAAGAGTCAGCTTCACCTTGCTTACACATTAGAAATCGCAAGGCGTCTATTATGTTCAGACAAGTCTAGTTTTCCGAGCAAAATTTCACGGATACTTTTAGATTAGTCTGAGTCAGGCACCATCTGCGCATAAAAAATGTTTCTCCAGACGTCAAATACTCATGATTTTGGAATAGACTGCAAAAATTATTTTCATCTTTCGTCAACATCTAAGGTCATGTTTTTTATGTACTCTGTAACCACTACTTTGTCTAAGAAACAGGCATATAAACATGATCATGTATTAACAAATTCATATTTCTTTTGCTCGTAATATCATGATAAGGTCTGAGTAGGGATGAGTGAGTCTTCTCTCGGGTAATAATGACATCCAATTCCTATAATTAGCCCTTTCTCCTGCTAAAATGTTGAAATATTTGGATATTTTAGAAGCTATTGAAGCTTCTATTGTAACGAAGAGCGCATTTTCTCGTAATTCATTGGATAATTACATTATTCTTAAAATTTATAGCATCAGAACAAGATTCAAAAGTACATGCATAAGAGACTAAATCGTTTTGATTTTCACATCTTAACCCATATAAGTAATTAATATATTAAATGGCATTTTATTGAAAAATTTCAGCCATTACTGTTGATCAATGCATCAGTTTACATCTCTGATTATATGAACTCTAAATTTTTTGACGACTAAAATTTTTAAAAATGTTCTTACCACCATATTATTATTATTACAATTCTAGTGATTAGGTTTTCTCTTCTTTGCGCTAAAAACCTGATCGAATTGATCTACAAAAAAAGTTTGGACGAAAGAAAACCTACCATGGACATCTAAAAAATCAACATAAATTTCATTGCAAAATCATAGATGTCATAATACCATTACACTGGGTATCGAGAAGTAAATGTCAGGATATCCTACAGAGTAATCAAGTAAAAGTGAATTCATTTACACGATGAAACTTTCGCATAGGGATAATGACTTCCTTACTCCATAAATGAATTACATGTTTTTAAAATTGAGGAATTTGAGTGAATTTGGGGTAACGACCTCGTTACCTCAAATTCATCAACATTAGAATATGTAGTTACAGTTTAGAGGTCATTACCCTAAGGGTAATACACCAAATTCTCTCAAATTCCTCAACTTTATAACATATAGCTATAGTTTAAATGTCAATACCAGGAGACTACATTAAAAGCAAATGAGGATACCGGGTGTAACGGGATTATGACACCACTCTGAAAAATGACAAATTTATCAAATTATCATTAATGAGTTAAAGCATCAATAATCTACTTTGAGATTTTCTATTCAATTCCTATCTTATCTATATCTTTCATTGTAATGATATAATTTACGAACTATTCATTATTCACAAAAAGACTCAATTTTTTCTTCTTTTGTAATTTCTTATAATGAACTCACAATTGAGAAAGCATCATTTCGATAATCGACAACAGTATGTGAACGATCAAAAGGATTCATATAAGTAAATAAATGATGAGAAATACTATCTTGTTCTATAATTGCTGGTTTAGCTGTTGTAATATCTAAACCTTCATATATTTGTGCTGAATCTGCATTAATTATTTCTCTATTATAAAGTTTAGATAAATAAACTGATTGTTTCATTTTGTTTAACAGCTGTTACACCTAGAATGATTATTATCGAAGAAATTGTGTAACGAAACTTTATTACTGTAGTCATGTGAAAAAACAAATACAATTAATATTTTATTTTTCTGGTATATCTGTAACATGGATGGTAAATGCAAATTCTAAAAATGACGAATTTTTCCTTAAAATCCAGGATTTGACCAGGAGAGTTTTCTTTCCACAAAACTCGGTGGAAAACACAATGGGTTTTTTAAATTTGGCTAACAAAAAGAATATCAGACATTTCTCTGTTCGAGTAGCAACATGATCACTGTTACAAACTCTTGTGATTTGTCTTTATCAAGCGAGTAATGAGAATAATTATCTTAGACATGAAATAAAGAAAAGAGAGAAGCAATCAGATGTATATTGGAAAATCTCGAGTAAATTAAAGTTCGTAAATCTATCTAGTTGCATTCTCATACAATGTAAAATCCATGGTTTCGGTCACCAGGAAATTTTAAAAACTGGCCAGAAGAACACTGAAAGCTACAGAAATTAGAGATTTCATTTTTTTGATGCGTTGCTTACTTGGAATTCAGAACGACTTCTGTTAGAAAAACGTTGATTTCTTGATCAATAAGAATTGGAATACACGCCAACCATAACAGCATTGAATGAACGCGAATGATGTCATATTTTCTGGTTCTCTATTTACTATACTAGAATAGTCATTGAAGAGCGTTCAAGATTTATTCTTTTGGAAATTTTCTTTTTGGCAGTTAGAGCGCGTCGGGTCCAACAATTTCTTGAATTCGGACCTGGAAAAAGAAGTACATATGGTTTCATTATTCTTTTGGAAATTTTCTTTTTAACAGTTGTTACATTTGAAATTTTCACTGTTGTTATGTTGTTAGAGTTTTATTTTGAT